TGGCGGAGTCGCCCGAGAACGCCGCCGCGGCGCCCGCCGCTCCTCCCGCCCCGGCCCCGGCGCCGGCAACGAAGCCGTCCCCGCCCGCCAGGTCCGGGATCCCGCCGCGGTACGACCTCGACGCCAAGTGGGACGCCTGCCTCGACCTCTCCATCCGCCGCGTCGCCTACTCCTCCCTCGCCGGCGCCTTCGGGGGCCTCATCCTCTTCCGTAAGCTCCCCCTCTCCGCCTCCCCCTTCCCCTCGCCGCACCGCGAGATCTGTTCGCCGCGCCTCCCATGTGTATCTCTTGATCTAGGGTTGCGCGGAAATGATGCCCGTGCTCCATCTCGATCGGCCTAATCTGATGCGGGATTCCCTAGCCGCGTAGGTTGGGCGCGCTCCTCCCAGCGGTGCTCTGCTTCGGGGCGGCGTAGATTGGTTGTTCTCTATGCGATCCGAACGCCAAATTCAACGGGATTGACTTTCTCTAGTCGATTTGCGTCCAGGGCTGCGAGATTCCGACGAGCATAACCGAAAATGTTCCATTTGCTGCATGTATGTATTCTGTAGAGGCCAGAGTATCGTTTTCAATCGGTTCGATCAACCGGTGTAGGAAGAGCAAGACGTGCTTTAATTGCTGCCTCGGCTATGTGATGGCTTTGATTGGTAGGCAGGAAAACTTTGGTGTGAGCGATGCTTTCCTTGTGGAGCTATCATCATTTCCCTGTGGCTGGTAATGTAGAGATGGTAATGTAGAGAATGAATGGTCTAACTCGGATTGTGCTCTGTGGAGGACTTGAATACTGAACCGTCCTTCAAAATTACAGCGCGTTTCCTGTTAGTGCCCAATCATAACCTGTCCTAGATAGTTATACCACTTAGGCCATAGATCTGCACAATGCTCATTTTTAGAGTAACATGTAAGATGCATATGATATGTTTTTATATGATCAATGGTGAGCTGGCGGGACCTACTGATTCCTGAGTTCGGTCTTGATGCTGTTCATTCCAAGTGTTAAGCAGGAATTGATAGGGCTGTGGTATGATTTTTGTTGATCTTTGCCAATGTGAATTTGTAGAATGTTGGTTTTGCTTAATTTTTATCATCATCAAACTCACTATACCTTACTTCTGTTCTAACGGTGGCGCAAGCCGCTTACACCATATAGGCTGCAGTATGCAGAGTCCTAAGTCAGTTTCATTCTCGAACTTTAGGGGCTTGTCCATTGATGTCTATGTGATGCTTGTTATCAGCTAATCTCAAACTGTTTCCTTGTATCCTATTCTGTTGAATAACTTGGAGTCCTTTTATTCGTATCCAGAATGAGTTTGATTTCAGAAGTTCTATAAAGCGCAAACAACGCAACTTGTTACTGTGTATCTGATGTTGGTTATACCACTTAGGCCATAGATCTGCGCGATGCTCATTTTTAGAGTAACATGTAAGATGCATATGATATGTTTTTTATATGATCGATGGTGAGCTGGCGGACCTACTGATTCCTGCGTTCGGTCTTGATGCTGTTCATTCCAAGTCTTAAGCAGGAATTGATAGGGCTGTGGTATGATTTTTGTTGATCTTTGCCAATGTGAATTTGTAAAATGTTGGTTTTGCTTAATTTTTATCATCATCAAACTCACTATACCTTACTTCTGTTCTAACGGTGGCGCAAGCCGCTTACACCATATAGGCTGCAGTATGCAGAGTCCTAAGTCAGTTTCATTCTCGAACTTTAGGGACTTGTCCATTGATGTCTATGTGATGCTTGTTATCAGCTAATCTCAAACTGTTTCCTTGTATCCTATTCTGTTGAATAACTTGGAGTCCTTTTATTCGTATCCAGAATGAGTTTGATTTCAGAAATTCTATAAAGCGTAAACAATGCAACATGTTACTGTGTATCTGATGTTGGTTAGGGAACTACTAAAAAAGTTCTTTGACTATGTGGATTGTCTGTTTTCCACCTGATAATCCATAATTATGAGTTTTCCCAGCAATTATTCATGCATTTTTCTTGAGTGTTCTCAAATTTGATAATCTTATTTACTTGCAAATTATTCAGAGTTGGCATATGCCGAAAGAAACACTTTGAGAAGAACTCAAATTTACACTTCGTGAAGTAACTGTAGCTAAATCTATGGTCTAATGCATGTTTGACTTGTGTTATTTTATACAGGTAGCCCAACAACCCGCTGGGCATCAGTTGCACTTGGAGCTGGTGTGGGGATAGGGGCTGCGTTCACTGAATGCTCATACATATTCAATGGTTCTCCTCCAAAGTGGTCGGCCAATGCTTCGACTGTTGCTGCTCATTCTGAAGTAACTGCTTTCTCACTTTGTCCTTATTGTACTGTTAGTTTGTTGGTTAAAATTTATGTTCAGCATGTCCATATGGTTGATACCAAATTGCCAAATATGGTGTTCATTTTTTATTTCTCCTTGTTGTAAATATATCATCATTATGATAGTTTACGCTAGGGTTACCTGATCATTCTGTTTTTGAAACATATTTTTTAGTTTTGATAGTCTGCCAAGTACATACATCTTCTTGTTTATGGCTTCCAACACTTTGGGACTAAACTTAAGGAACATAGCAGGTTCGTATGTTGAAAACGTTGTAGGAAGAATGTATATATATTCTAATACAAATCAATTAGTTAGTGTATATTAAGTCACTTATTTATGGACAGCTTCCTAACCCTCCAACTGTTGGCAATTGCAAACTTATTGTCATGCCAGCACTGATTTGAACATAACCTCCAAATGCAGTCTGGTTGAAAGTAATTTATTAACTTCCATGCTTGTCTGGTCTATTAGCTTTCGCTGAGTTGGTGCTTGCATTTCTTCTCTATCAGTAAACTTATCAAAAACTCATTGAGATGCTCCCATTTTCTCTTGTTTATGGGTTAGTTTATTTTCATCTGCATGTAGGTAAGAAAGGTTATTGCTATGTGGCACTGCTGCTTTTTCAACATAGCTGTTAATGGTTCTCATGATGTTTGGATATTGCTGTAGTGGATTGCTCTGTGAAATGAAACAGTACATGCTTATATTGATGTTGTTCTCTCCTTTCTTTTTGACCAGGGGGGAGACAATTAAAACAGTGTCGGGCGGGATGAGTAGCCCAATCTTGGCGGAGTTTTGGAGCGTTTGTTGATTGAACCTAGCTGTTTGGTGTCTGATGATATCGCCACTTGTCATAGTATGTCCTGAAAGTTAGCATGTGCCCCCTCGTGAATTTTCTTCACACATTACGCGGAAACCATTCGTGACTGCGGTCTGATGATATGACCCTATGGCTCCGTAAGTTGGGTCTGTCGTGAGGTTTTATGTCTGGCAATAAATTTTTGGTCATGTGAACTTGTTGTGTAATGCTCTGGCGCTGTTACTATACGTTATACTTGCGATCTTGGTGGTGGTTTGGTTGTACCAACGCCTGTTTGATTTGAGTAGGTCGGTTTACAACAACAACAACAACAACAAAGCCTTTAGTCCGAAACAAGTTGTGGTAGGCTAGAGGTGAAACCCATAAGATCTCGCAACCAACTCATGGCTCTGGCACATGGATAGCAAGCTTCCACGCACCCCTGTCCATAGCTAGCTCTTTGTCGATACTCCAATCCTTCAGGTCCCTCTTAATGGACTCCTTCCATGTCAAATTCGGTCGATCCCGTCCTCTCTTGACATTCTCCGCACGCTTTAGCCGTGGAGTTTTTGAAGGCCTGCGCTGAATATGCGCAAACCATCTCAAACGATGTGCCTTTTTAGAAAAAAGGTCGACAGTGTCTTCCAAATTTCCAATGGCTGGAATCGTAAGAATCAAATCGTGGATAGGTCGGCAGGCTGGACACTGGTGTTATTGTCCGCTCATAATTCCGTACAATTTTTTGGCAGCGAATTCTTATGACAATGAAACAAAAACAAGCGACATTATACGTGTGCTTTGTGAAGTTCTTGATTTGATGGCTACTTAATGGGCTTGCGCTCAAAGGACACACACAGGGTTTTGCAAACAAAAAGGGGAAATCATTGTCACTTTTTCCTATTGTGCAAAAAAAAAAAAGATTTTACACGAGAGCAATAGAGGTTGGGGTCCACTTCTTACGAATTTCTTGCAGTGAATTCCCACGTCAGGTTGGGTTAATCCCCACATGAAACGGATGGTGGGAGGGAAGATTGCTGCGGACGAAAGCACGCGACAATGTACATGTGCTCCGTGTTTTATTTAGTATACAGACTGATGAAAGCAAAGTGCGTACAGCCAGATCAACATGGCAGGCGATGTCGACGGTTCATTCGCCGCCCCGACGGAGCCACCCATGGCGTGGATGAGCCACCTTTCCGAGCAGTCGCACCCCACCCACCGGCGACTGCACCAAGTTGGTCCACCAACCTCCCACCCCACACCAAACGATGGACGGCAGCAAGCTAGCTAGCTAGCTAGATCGCTGTCCGATGGGCTCTGCCGCCGGAGCCGAGGCGCCGGTGCACCTGCACGGCGACCTGGAGGTGTGGATCGCGGAGGCCAGGCGCCTTCCCAACATGGACATCACGTCGGAGCGGATGCGGAGCTGCTTCACCGCCTGCGTCAGCGGCGAGGGCGGGTCCAGGGGCGGCGGCAGCACCGGCAGCCGGACCAAGAAGAAGAAGCGGGTCATCACGAGCGCCAGCTACGCCTACGTGTCCGTGTGCCTGGCGGGCGCCACGGTGGCGCAGACCCGGGTGATCCCCAACTCCGGCGGGCCCCGGTGGGACGAGCGCTTCCGCGTCGAGGTCGCGCACGCCGCCGCCACCCTCGACCTCCACGTCAAGGACAACCACGTCTTCGGCGCCCGCCTCATCGGCGTCGCCTCCGTGCCCGCCCGCCGCCTCGCCGCCGGCTCCCTCGTCCACGGCTGGTTCCCCGTCACCCACCACGCCCACCACCACCACGCCAGCACCTCCGCCGAGCTGCGCTTCTCCCTGCGCTACACCCCGGTGGCCCAGCAGCAGCAGCACGGCGGCAGCACCCCGCTGTGCGCCGCCGTGCCCAACGCCTACTTCCCGCTCCGGCGGGGCGGCCGCGTCACGCTCTACCAGGACGCGCACGTCGCCGACGGGCAGCTGCCCGGCATCGAGCTCGACGGCGGCGCCACGTACAAGCACGGCCGGTGCTGGGAGGACATCTCCCGCGCCGTCGCCGACGCGCACCACCTCGTCTACGTCGTCGGCTGGTCCATCCACCACCCCGTCCGGCTCGTCCGGGAGCCAGCCGCCGGCGCCGGCAACACCACCGGCAGCGCCAAGACGCTCGGGGAGCTCCTCAAGGGCAAGGTCCACGAGGGCGTCCGCGTGGTCATGCTCATCTGGGACGACAAGACCTCCCACGACAGGTTCCTCCTCAAAACGGTATGTATACATCTGCATTTGCTCTTCATCATTCAGCTCAGAAAGCCATTATTTTCTCCATTTCTTGGCAAAAAGCTGCGGCGCATCCATGGAGAAATCTGTTTCTAGAGCTGAATTGAAAGTGAATGAAGAATGGTCTGACGGCAATAAGATCTAGGCTGGATGCAGGACGGCGTGATGCACACCCACGACGAGGAGACGAGGAGATTCTTCAGGCACTCGGGCGTCCACTGCGTGCTGGTTCCCCGCTACGGCAGCAGCAAGCTCAGCATCTTCAAGCAGCACGTACGTACGTGCGTGAGGATCTCTATCTATTCTAATGTGCTGCTAAAATCAAATTGATATGCTAGCTTACTTCACAATGGTTCAATGGTACTCCCTCCGTTCCCAAGTACTCCCTCCGTTCTGATTTACTCGTCGTGGTTTTAGTTCAAATTTGAACTAAAACCACGACGAGTAAATCAGAACGGAGGGAGTACTTGTCTTTCTAGGCATTTCAAATGGACTCAATATACGCATGTATGTAGACATATTTTAAAGTGTAGATTCACTCATTTTGCACCGTATGTAGTCACTTGTTGAAATCTCTAGAAAGACAAGTATTTAGGAACGGAGGGAGTATATAATTAGCTCGCCTGCGTTTTTCTTTCCAGGTTGTGGGGACTCTGTTTACGCACCATCAGAAATGCGTGATTGTCGATTCGCAGGCCGCGGGAAACAACCGCAAGATCACCGCATTTCTCGGCGGTCTGGACCTGTGTGACGGCAGATATGATACGCCTGACCATAGGCTTTTCAATGACCTTGACACCGTTTTTCATAAGGATTTTCATAACCCTACCTTCCCTGTAAGTTCCTCTTCCTCTGCTTCATACTCCTTAGTTCTCGTCCACAGTATGAACTGATATTCTCTCTTACAAATGAATTTGAACATTAGAGCATATTTTATTTTGTTCTTCTGATTTGCAGGTCAATTCTTATGGACCCAGACAGCCATGGCATGACTTACACTGCAAAGTCGAGGGCCCTGCCGCCTACGATATACTGACAAACTTCGAACAACGATGGCGCAAAGCTACGAAATGGAGAGTCAACCTTAAAAAGGTTATTGTTTGGCATTACGACACGTTGATCAAGATTAAACGGATGCCCTGGATTGTTTCCCCTTCTACCGATGAGGCGAATGCGTGCGTTTGTGACGAACAGGACCCAGAAAATTGGCATGTACAGGTATATATGACTTCAACTTTTATCGAATAAATAAACTACTTGAACGTCAAAGATGCTAGTACTAGATTTTCTTATTTACTCTGGTGTTCTAGATTTTCAGGTCAATTGATTCAGGATCTGTGAGGGGATTTCCTAAACTTGTCCAGGAGGCACAGTCACAGGTTATGTTGAATAACGAATCATTTCTGTGCGCAATGATACCATCAAAAACTGTGTTCATTTACACACTTTTTTCGATAACCGCTGTGGATGTTTTCCCATTTCTTCTTCAGAATCTAGTTTGTGCCAAGAATCTGAAAATTGACAGGAGCATACACAGCGCCTACGTGAAAGCCATCAGGTGTGCACAATACTTCATATACATCGAGAACCAGTATTTCATTGGCTCTTCATTCTGCTGGCATTCACACAAAAACACAGGTACACAATCAAATAGAAACGATTTGCTCACAGCCTCTTCTTGATTTAACTGCAAGTCTGCAACCGAAGCGTAATCTGTTAATCCTGGAGACCGAGTATAGACATACACACTCTCTTTTTACGGTCGTAATTCTTAGGTGCAGATAATTTAATCCCCGTTGAGCTGGCCCTGAAGATTGCGAGCAAGATCAAAGCGAAGCAGCGATTTGCGGTCTACGTTGTTATCCCAATGTGGCCTGAAGGAATCCCAACGACAGCAGCAGTGCAGCAGATCCTCTTTTGGCAGGTTTGCTCCCAACTATTGTCCATAGTTATTCTCAAAAAAATTTCAAGCAACGTCCATAGGTGTTCTTATGACCATTAACTCACAAAACCGACGAAATCATGGACCGGAAGCAAGAGAATATATCCTCAGAGGAAAAAGAGAACATATGGCAATGGTTTGAAAACACCAAGTTTCATCATTTTTTTGGATGGAGGAATTTCAACATTTAAACATTTGTATTGAAGAGATCATCTAAATAAGTTGTGAGGGTACATGCTCTCAGGATACTATCGAATCATTTCCTTATATTTGATATGATGAGGATTTTTCCAAAGGGGCAAACCATGTCTATGATGTACAAGATCATAGCAGACGCTCTCGAGAGCCAGGGTCTCGTCGACTCCCACCCTCAAGACTATCTGAACTTCTACTGCCTCGGGAGACGCGAGCTCGCCGCCACTCCGGAGGCGAGCTTATGCAACGACAACTCTGCTCTGGTACTGCACATCATCCATTTCTCCTCTCTGCTTCCATTAATCACATGCATTACGAATGTTGCATTGGAATTCGGTGACATTCATTGAAGGTCATGTTGGCTGTTGCGAATCACCAGGGCATGGCGCAGAAGCACCGGCGGTTCATGATCTACGTGCACTCCAAAGGGATGGTGGTGGACGACGAGTACGTGGTGATCGGGTCGGCCAACATCAACCAGAGGTCCATGGAAGGGTCCAGGGACACGGAGATCGCCATGGGCGCGTACCAGCCGCACCACACCTCGGCCGGAGACCGCGGCGGCCCTCCTCGCGGACAGGTAGGAGCAAGTTGATCCAAACATGGAAGCCATGGATGGAACATGCACGGCGGATGACAAGAATCTATCGTGTCTACTGTGTTATGTGTGCTGCAGGTGTACGGGTACAGGATGTCGCTGTGGGCGGAGCACCTCGGCGGCAGGGCGGAGGAGTGGTTCCGGCGGCCGGAGTCGGAGGAGTGCGTGCGGCGGGTGAACGCGGCGGCGGAGGAGAACTGGCGGGCGTACGTGTCGCCGGACGACACGGCGGCAGAGACGCCGAGGGGCCACCTGATGCGGTACCCCGTGAAGGTGGACAGGGACGGCGGCGTCGGGCCACTGCCGGGCCACGAGTGCTTCCCGGACGTCGGCGGCAAGGTCCTCGGCGCGCAGTCATCGCTGCCCGATGCTCTCACCACGTAATTATTAAGCTAACCAATTGTCAGGATCCGAAGAACACTAACGAGGCACAGTACTCACTCAGAAGAAGAAGGAAAAACTGTAATAACATAGATGGCTATTTTTTCTGGTGAAATTTTGTGGTTTACTTATTTTTGTTACTACATGATGCCCGCCGCGTACCCGCCTTGCTAGGGGATTGGTTGCAATATGTTTGGATGAGATTTAATTGTTTGAAACATGAATATTTGGATGAATAATACGAGAACTGAAACAAATATTTGGATGAGTAACACGAGAACTAAAAAATATTTTGAGTACATGATTTATTGGATTTAGTTATTGACGTGGTCCCATGTATCCTTTATGTCATGGTGGGTATTTTTCATGCATATACGCTGAGATGTCTGTGTGCATGTTTAGAGAAATTTACACAAACCACCAACTATTGTGGTCGAATTTGCTCAAAATACAACTGTTGTTGCATAAAGCATCACATATTGGCTCAATCTTTTGCAGTTGGCTCTAATCCAGCCTAGCATACCCTGCAATACGCCGTTGTTCGGAGTAAATTGCACAAAACCACCGGTTTAAAGGTTAGGTTGCGAAAAACACTACAATACATTTCTTTTGCAGAAAACACCATGTCTTCAGTAATGATTTTGCAAAAATCACTGATCGGCGAATAAGCCTCATTTAAGCATGTTTATGACAGATGGGTCCTGCTTTTCGCTGACGTGGCATAACATTTTGCCAAAGACAGCGCTAGATAGGTCAAAATGCGAAAACACCCCCAACATTCTTCCCCATGTCCTTGGACTTTGTCCAGCCGCCCGAGAAGAGGAGCTCCCCATCCCGTGCGCCGCCGCAAGTAGCAGCACCACCGAAGCACATGCCGTCGCCGCCGCCCTAGTTAACCGCCGCCGTGCCCACCTGCATACTCTTACCTCCACCAATCTTCTTCCCCTGCCCCTTCTTCCTCCGGGCGGTTGCACGAGGGCGAGGTCACCAGACTCGCCCCTTCCCTGCCGGGACTCCGCTCGGCTCTTCCTCGTACTTCAAGCCGTCCCTGCACGACCACCACGGGCTACCAGTACGGCGAGCTGTTGCCGTCCGCCGCGCCCACCCTAGCGAGCCCCACCACACCACGGATCCCAGGCGGCCGAATCTCGACGACCGCCGGATCAAAGTATTTGGTACGCTGCGCCATGGCTCGCTAGTCAGGATCCAGCTGCGCGCCGCCGCCGTCATCTACCGACGGGCGGCCAGCCCCTGCCTCGCCGACACCCACCGACAGTGGGAGAAGCATGACCGTCGCCGTCCGGATCCAGCGAGTGATGTCGCGCTGCCGCCCCAGTTTGGCCTCTTGCGCGAAGGATGCAGCGCCACCAGCGTTGACCGCCCCAACCAGCGGCGAGGGATGCACATGGGGCTGATTGCGTTTTTGCTTTTTGTTTCCGGGATGTTTGTGTAAAATCCAAGGACTAGTTTGTAAATTTAGATTACAATTGATCTGGCACAAAATGTAACACCACGTAGGCAAAAAACAGCCCCACCTGTCATAAACGTGCTCAAATGAGGCTTATCCGCCGATCAGTGGTTTTTGCAAAATTATTACTGAAGACATGGTGTTTTTTGCAAAAAAAAAATATTATGATGTTTTTCGCAAACCTAACCTTCAAACTGGTGGTTTTGTGCAATTTACTCCGTTGTTCGCGGAGAACACGTGCAATCGCCGCCCTACTTGTCCTAGGGGGAGCTTCGCCCCCGTGTTGTCAATTGAATTTGGCCGTTGTTTCGTGCCTGATGCGGCCACTGAAAAAATTGAATTTGGAGTATCATCCGGTGAAAAAATTGTGTGCTATACCAAAGTAGCGTCGGTCTTAAAACCTGGTATTAGCGAGGTATTGTACAATGATTCATATAATGAGCATTCTCAGCATGCTATTTTGTGCTATTAGTGATGCCGTACCATGCTGTTTTTTCAAGTGATATTACCTCGAAGCTAGCATGTGCTCCTCTCGTGATATTCTTTGGTACAATTGCGCGGAAACCATTTCTGACAACCTATGGCTGCACATTGCAGTCTGCAGGCAATGGCGTTTACGGTTTTTTTTAGTGGAAAAATGGCGGGCGTCTTTTTTTTTTTTGCAACAAATGGCGGGCGTCTAGGGCTCAGTTTTCTGCCTTGTGCAGCCCAATTAGAGTTAGTGTGGACCCAGCTGGGCTTCCTCACCTGAGCCTGGGCCGGAATTAACAAGGCCTGGGCACGGATGTGAAGAGCGGTATCGATCGTTCACCCCTAAAAAAAATCTATCGATCGTTCACCCCTAAAAAAAAATCTATCGATCGTTCACGTCAAACAGCGGCATCACTCCGGTCCGGAGTCCTCCGCCTCCCCTTCTACCAGACCCAGGCCCTTCTTCTTCCACGATCCACTCCGGATTCCATCCGCCGCGCCACCGCAGAGTAGAGGATCTCTTCCGAGATACGTACGAGGGAGGGAGCTAACGCCGGCGTGCGGTTTGGCTGGCTGCTACCGGCGTTGGGTTCAACAACCGAGCATCCCGCGACGCCTCATCAGATTGACGATCTCCATCTCCATGGAGGCGAATAGCGATGATACCGGCAGTTCCCGCAGCCAGGTAAGTTCCCTTAGTCCACCTCCTCCCTTCCCTTCAGATAATAGTTTTGCTCGATGGAGAGTTTACACGCTGGATGCATGCAGCATTGTTCTTTTTTTGAAACGCGGTCCCTTAGGGCCCGATTCATTAAATAAGCTCGAAGAGAATTGCCCGGTTAATAAACGGAAAACCGGGCAAAAACCGTCACAACTGGCCTGCAGAAACAAGGCACACAGGGCGACCTGACAACCCACACAAGAACGCACACACGCCGCCGAGGGGAAGCGTCGAGGCTTGCGCCGACCGATGTCAAACAGTCAACCACACGCGCCGGCGACCAGGCAGCTCCGACTCTGTCGACGAGCATTGCAAGAGAAGAGCGTTGGGCTTGCGCCGAGCCAGCGTCAGAGCGGCGACTCCTCGAACACGCCGGAAGAGACCGACTACCAAGAACCATCAGCAAACCTGACTCCGCCCGAAGCCGCCATCGTTGCCACAAACACGAAGCTACGCAACATCCGCATTGCCAGACGGGCACCTGCCGACCACAATGCCGCGAGCGTCCAACCCATGAAGCATGCAACCGGGATCCGAAGCTCTTCAAGCCGCCGCCCCAAAGAGGGAAGCGACGATGTCGACGCCGTCGCCCGACCCAACCAGGCCTTAGGCTTTCACCCGAAGAGCAAGATCCGAGGGCGTAAGAGGATGCTGGACTCCATAACGACGCCTCCAAGGAGGTCAAACGACGACGTCCACAGACGCCGACGCCGCCGGCCGGCAAGACCAGCCAAGCTTTCGCCCGGAGTATCCCAACACCACCAGCACCCTCACGCACCGCACCTTCGCTGACCCGCCCACCTCTCACGAAGCCACCGCGCTAGCAGCACCGGAGAGCCACCACACCTCACCTCCCCGCCGGACGAGAAGACGCCGACGGGCCAGATCCGACGGATCTGGCATCCCACCACCGCTGCGCAACAGGAGCCACCAGAGGCCCGCCCTCCACCGGCCCGACCAAGGACCACGCCCCACAAGGCAGGCGGGGGGGCCTCGCCCGCCCCCACGCGTCGGAAAGGAGCAGCCGGGCCGGAGGCCAGGCGCCCGCCGACGGAGCTATCGCGGCTGCCACCCGCGAAGGCCGCTGCCAGGAGGCACAGGGGCCCGCCGATGCCGCAGCAGAAGCCCCCGACGGATCCATCGCGCGGCGCGGAAAAAGGGGATCGAGCCTTCCCATCCCGAGATCTCGCGGCCTGGCGAGAGGAAAACGCCCCCGCCGCCGCCGTCCGCCGCCTGGGCTTAGCCCGGTGGCCTCCTCCGGCGACGGCGAGGGGAAGAAGGAGGGGGGCGGGAGGGCGGCCCGGCGGCGCGACCGAGTCTCCGCCCGTGCCGCCTCAGCCGAGACGACGCGGGGGCGGGGGTGTCTAACTTGAGCATTGTTCTTTTTGTATATCTAAAAAAAGAGAAAAAAGTTTTTTTTAGCAAAACCGTTATTTATTTGGCAGCCAATAATGGATGCATAACTTATGTATGTTGCAGCAAATGGAGGAATAAGATAGGCTCAGCTCGCTGACCGATGACGCTTTACTGTCTATCTTGGAAAGGGTGGGTCCACGTACGGCTGCAAGAACAAGTGCGCTCACTACGCGGTGGAGTCATCTGCCTTGGCTGCTCCCAGAGCTCAGCATCGACGTCAAGGACTTCCTATCTGCCCCACACCTAGAACCTATCAAGGCCAAGGATATGGAGGAAGCTATGGCGTCTCTAACAAAAGCCACCAGGAGTTTCTTGGTTAAACGACATAGAGAATTTCCAATCTCAAGTTTGCACCTTAAGCTCTACTTTGTCAACACTTTCTTGTGCGAAGTCGGCCTACTTGTAGGCGACGCAACCAACATTGGTCTGTTGAAAGACTTAGATCTCGCCATTCTTGATGAGCCATATAATTTGGAATGCAGTAAAGAAGATATGTTGCAGCGAGCACAAGAAATATATGTTCTTTTCACTGCCTACTCTAGTGTGCTCTGCTGCCTCACAGAGCTCTCTCTACAAAATGTAGCCTTTGACAAATTGGACATGCACTATATCCTGCTTGATTGCTGCAAGCAACTGAAGCACCTAAGCCTCACTCTGTGTGATATCGGTGATACTTCTCCCTTTAAGATTGATGCACCAAACTCAAAACTATGTGTTCTAGAGCTCACCGAGTGTGGCTTTGTGAAACTTGAGGTAGCACGCCTTCCGAAATTGGAGAGGTTCAATTTAGATACTTGGTTTTTTAACTATATGCCATTGGCCTTTGGTTTTGTCCCGTCTCTTGGAGAATTACAACTCGCATATGGTGCAACATGTTCTGAAGATCAATTTAAATTAAGTGAGCTTATACATGGAACCACAAGCATA